CAGACAGGATTGAAAAATAACTAAACAACAAATGATTATAGCAATACTACTAATAAATATGATGGTTGGACTAAATGATCACTGAGCCTTATAGCCTGGACATTCTGTGGTTTTCTTACCAGCCTTTATGTTGTGTCTAAGCAATCCAAGAGAAGTAGCATAACTGAAAGAGCAAGGAAGACCTGGATTCAAGTTCTGTCTCTAACAGATAGGGGCTCTGCGACCCTGGGTAAGTCACTAAATTCTCAGTGTACTGGGAAGTTCTCTCAGTTTTAAAGAAATTACCAACTTGCCCTGTTAGAGGAAGTTTCTCCACCTGGGAGTTCCTTATAGAAATGAAATCACCATGTCCAGTCCTTCTGTCCGCATAGGGAATCATACCCTTACATGTGGGTGCTCTGCCCAAAGGAATACAAATTTTGGTCACTTAAACCTCACAAGATATCCTAGGGTTTAGGGGCTAGATTTTTTTCTCTTCCCTACTTATTTATTCTTTTAAAAAACACTAGGATAATTAACTCTTTTGTCCCATGTAGTTTCATTTATGGTTTCTTGAAATAGAGCTCTATAAAACCAAGCTTTGATAAAACCCTTTGGGATTCAAATAGAGCTAATTCACTATGCCTTAAACCCAAATCATGCTGGCTCTCACCAATTGGCCAATAATAGGTCCCAGCCGAAACCTCACTTGGTCATTGTTTAAGTTTTGATGGCTCAGAGTGAGGGTAAATAGCAATTGTTTGTTTTGGCCAGAAACACTGAGGGTCTTCCTCATCCAGATTGATTTTTTTTTTGAGTCGGCAAACTAGGCCATCTTTTGCCTCATTTCTTACCTAGCCTTAAATCCCTAAATCACTGAATGGGTGTTACCTCAGACAAACTGAGACCTGGGAAAGACCTTAGCTTTAAAAGGCCAATGTTTCCCCAGTGCTTCTGGGGCCATCTCCAGTTGTCCTGACCTATGTCTTGACACTGGACCCAGATGACTCTAGAGGACAGAGTGAGGCTAGTGACTTAGCACAGCTCTGCCTCACATAAATCCAATTAACTTGCAAGTCAAGACATCATCCTCCTAATGTCATTAGTCCTCTTCAAGAACTAAGGAGGAACAACAATAACACCTGATGTTATAGTTTGTGGATTGAAAAATCATCCCATTCAAAACTATCTGGCAATCAAAGGCAAGCCACTTCCTCCTTCTAGGTCTTAGTAAAATGAGGCAGCTTGATAAAGTGATATCTAAGGCCCTTTATGGTTATAAAATCTTATAATTTTACATAGTATAATTACAATTACTACTCCTCGTTCTAGAGTGCCTAATAATGCCTGAAGCACTTTCCTTACAACCACCCTGTGAGTCTGGTCAAATAAACATTATTTCTCCCATTTTGAAGAGAAAACCAAGGTTCAAAAGGGATACATGACTTGGCCATGTAGTAAATGGCATAGCTAGGACTTAAGCAAACATCAGGAATCCAAGGTCAGGGCTCTGTACAGTTACTTTTACAAAAACGTGACTGCTGGATTCACTCAGAAGAACAAAAGTCCCTCATAACAGGATTGGATAAGATGATTGATTCATAGCACTAGAGGTAGAAGGGACCACGTTTCATTTCATGGATGAGGAAATCGAGGCAGAGAGGTGACATGACTTGCCCAGGGTCACTCAGCTAATAAGTGTCTAAGGGTGACATCTGAACCTAGGTCTAACTGACTCCATATCCAGTGCACTGTCAATGATAACATGTTGTAGTCTGAAGATACACCCATCATGTTGTTTTAGACAATCAGGTATTGTTCCTAGGAGGCTAGGGGTCTCCTAGGGCTAGGTGGCAGTCAGACACCTGCAAAGTCTCTGGAATGGTCATTTTCAAACTGCCCACTGGTCTTACCTACAGGTGATCTTTGCCTAGGACTGACAGACAGAATTGTACTTTTTCTCAGAAATGGAAAATGAAGGAGTTAAGGGCAGGGCTGCCTGTGTTTGTGCCTGGGGCATCCTGTGGGTCTGATAACCTGCATGCAGCTAAGTGGTCTGTGCCCACCCTCACTCCTCCTATTTCCCCAGAAATGTCAGCCTGTCCTCTGCACCCAGGCCCCTCTGAGACACATGCTGAGAACTGGACAGGCCATGCTTTGTGAATGATTGCTTTCTGCCATTTGATATAAAAGTCACTGGTTATAAAAGCAAGAATGCATTTATTTTACATATAACACAATATAAAACCCCAGAAAAACCACTTCAACAAAATTCTCTATGGCATTCAAAAATCCTAGTCTTAGGGGGAGTAAGGAAGAGCTTCCATGGGTTCTAGTTACCAGCAAGTGACACCCTGTTGCCTTGGAAAACAAAAATTCCTCTCCTGTCTGGGTCTTATTGGTCTCTGTTCTAAAAGGAGAGAACTGGACATGATAAGGTCCCTTACTGCTAAAATTCCACTACTTTAAATTTTCTTTAAATTTCTTATTACTTAAATATGAGTAATTCAGAGGCCTGGGAGACATATGAACTACAAAACAAAAAAGAACCAGGAAAAAACATATAGAATGACTACAACAAGGTAAATAGAAAGAACATGAACAACAACAAAATTTAAAAACTAAACACTATGTAATTCTATGGATCAAGCTTGCCTCTGGAAAAGAGAGGTCAAAATGTACGTCCCTCCTTTTCTTGCAGAGGTGGGAGGATACGGTGATAGAATATTGAATATATTGGTTGGCTCAGTTGATATGTTGGTTATTTTTCCTGAGGTGTTTTCCTCCTCCCCCTTTAATTTTTTATTCTTTGTTACAAGGGATGGCGCTCTCTTATGTTTGGGGTGGGGGGACGTTACATTTGGAAATTAAAGTGATATAAAAATAAAATATATTGATAATTGTTCATCTAATAGTTGAGCCAAAATTTTCACTTAATTCTTTTACTATCTCTTTTAAAAGCATTGGTGGGATGGAAGGAGTAGAGGCAAGTGTTGGAACTAGGTCCGTTGGTGGCCAGACACATCTCCCAAATATTCTTACATAGAATATCTATTTTAGTCTTCTTCTTAAATTCAATGAAGATTAATCACCTACTTTGTATAAGGCCTTTTACTAAGTGTTGGGATACACAGAAGTGAAAAAAAAAACAATATCCCTTGCCTTCAGGTGGCTTACAGGATAGCCACTGAATGGCTTTGAGTTTTCGGGGGTTTCTGGTTCTGATTTCGGTTTTTTAGGGAAAAACAGGCAGCATGGGATGGTGAAAATAGCACTTGATTTGGAGTCAGAATATCTGAGTATGAATCCCGGCTACTGGACCCTGGACAAATAATTTCCCATTTCTGAGCCTTAGTCCTCATCTGAAATTGAGGTCAATCACACTTGCACCACCTACCTCCTGGGCTGTTCAAGAAGTGCTTTGCAAACCCCAAAGAGCTTGAGAAATGTGAGTCCATGACTTTCATTTTTCTCATGTCTACTGAAAGGTGTCTATACATTAGTTCTCTCATTCAGGTCCCGAATTATAAGGCAATAAGGGACATGATTTGCTACTGAAGAATGAGACTGGCACAGAGGATCTTTCCATTCATTGTACAATAAAAGATTTTCTTAGCATACATGCCCAGCCAATTCAAGTCACTCCTTAGTGGCCATTGGGCTACCATTGTCTCCCTGAAAGCCCTCCACACCCAGAGTTGTTGTGGCCAAAGTAATTCTGGTAGTGATGAATCAGAGCACCCCCAAGCCTAAGGGTTGGAAGGGGCCTCTGAGTCACCTAGAGCGATTGGGCCGCAGTGAAAATCCCCTAGAGGTTGCAAGCTCCCTTGATGGAGAGAGCCTCTCCACCAATGAAATCATGAATCTCTGGCACAGATTTATTTAGTGCACTATCACACCCAGGCTTCCCAGTGGTAACTTTAGTTTGGGGCAGTAGCTTTGAATATCAACAAAAGTTTACTAAGCACCTCTAAGGAGAGGATCCAGTTGTCTCTAGAGAACACACTTTCAGATGACAATACTACACAGGAGAAAATGCTAAGTGTACCAGAGAGCTCCAAAACAAAGAATTCTGTAAGGTCTGAGGGTGAATGAAGGTTGGTGCTGACAGAGGAATCATGGAAATGATTTCATCGCATAGGTGATGTATGAATTAGACTTTAGAAAATGGGTAAGAATTAGGAGAGAGGGAGGGAAGGGGAGAGGGAGAAGGAGAGAGAGAAAGAGAGTGAGTAAGAGAGGGAGAGAGGGAAGAAGAGGGAGAGAGAGGGAGGGAGAAGGAGAAGGAAGGGGGAGAGAGAGGGAGGGAGGAAGAGAGAGAAAAAGAGAGAGAAGAAGAGAAAGAAGGAGAAAAGGAAGGAGAGGGGGAAGGAGAAGGGAGGATTTCAGACATAGGACACATAGTTAACCTGGAGAAAAGGAGGTGGGAGAGCACTACTGGCACCCCAGGAACAGGAGGCCTCTGTTAGGCCAGGGCCCAAAGTACATGGAGGGAATACAAGGTAGGTCTGGAGAGAGTAGGGTGGAAAAATCTTCAAGGTGAAAGAGGTCCTTGAATGCCAGACTAAAGAATCTGCATTTTACTCAGAAGGCAACAGGGAGCCACTGAATATTTTTGAGCAGAGGAGTGCAGATATATGCTAGAAGATTGCTATGAAAGATGTATCAGAGAGGCAAACAGTGAGATTGTCTTGTAAAATTATAAGTAATTATGGATAATATACTGGGGAAAAGATTAGAATGAGAAGAATTAGTAATAACTAAGCTAAAGGAATGCCAGGCTAACCTCATACAGCTGGCTTAAAAATGGTTTTTGCCATCTGCTCTGTGCAAATGTTCTCTAAGGGAGGCTAACCCCTTCCTATATGCACACTTCTGGCTTCAAAATCAGGAAGACTGGGCAGCAGAGTGTCAAAGGATGTTTTATCTGTCACCAGCAAGGTCACCCTATAACTCACCAGATCACCTTATCATTAATGGGTCAGCCAGATTTCATCACTAAAAGTTTATTAAGTACTCACTGTGGTGGTGAGCTTTCCTCCATTCTTCTGGACATACAGCACAGAGTCTCGGATCAGGGTAAAGAGACTAAGTAGGACGTGTTCCATGTCATAGATCCTATGCATCCCTTTAACAAGCTCCTCCAGAGAGCTGATGTATTCTCTCCAATATTTGTCTATCTCGACAACACTAGCCAGGCATCCTTGCATTACTGCACTGCAGTGGCCCGCACAAGGCTTGGCCATCGTCAGTCCCTGACAGTAAGAACAGTACCACATTTTTAGGAGCATCCGGCCACAGTCCTTGCTGAATTTTAAGTGGTCAGTTGTGTTGATCACTTCAATTCCCAGATTCAGGGCCTGGAGAAAGACTCGAGTTGTCTGCAGTGACTTGGACACCTGGGTCATGATGATCTTCGGATAGTGGCCAAAGACTTGGAGGTCCCGCCTTGCCCCACGGAGGCACTCAGCCATTTCCAAGGAGACCTCTGGGAAACCAGGGTTAATCAGATGTGAGTAGATCACAGGAAACAAACTGTCAAAGAACTCATGGACCATATCATTGACATGGATGTCAGAGCCAAGTATGTAGAGGGAGACATCTGTGAAAAATTCACCCACAAATTTGAAAGCTTGGGGGGCCATGCTGGAGTACTGGTTTCTAAACATGGTGTTGGTATAATTCTTGGCATGCCGGATGACAATCTCAAAGGCTTCTGCAAAACAAATAAAACCCACAAATCCAGATGAGAAAATCTGAGGTGCAAATTAATTAGAAATGTCTCTATTTGTATGGTGATTAAGGCACAATTTGCTTTAAAATCATTGACTCATATCCAACTCTGGCTTTGTCTATACTCCTGGATTTGTTTGCTCCTAGGAAGCAACATTACTCATGGGACAGGAAGGCCAAAAATCTGACTTACCCATAAATTCTTAAACATACAAATTACATTTCACATGACAACAACCCAGGGTTCCAGGTAACATTTTAGCTTTTGTGACAATATTGATTAAAAACAGATTAAATGAGAAGTTATGGCTCTCCTATTGATTTATTTGCTTAAATAGGAATTCTATTTCCAGACTTTTCATTTTTAGCCAGAGATAAATACTTGACCACAAACTAACGCCATATAATCTCATGAAGCAGTTTAAGCCTGTGAAGCCCTAGAGGAAAATCGAGCTCTGACCCAGGCATGAGCGCTATCAAGAATTTAATCATTCCTTGTAGATTTTCTCCAGATAGCTTTTGAGTGAACTGACAGATTCGATTGTCAGTACTAGAAATGGAATTTATCCATGAAAGGGAAGCTGCTGGAAAGCAAATCCATGCACCTATCTGTTCATCTTGGTAGTGGGTATCAAGAATTTAGGGGAGATTTCAAAGGGTACCTCGAGTATTTTCAGGCTGAACAGCTAGAAGGATAACTAAGCTTCTTTGGGGCACTCAGTTTCCACAATGCTGGGGAACGTGGCTTCTCTATGGAGACCACTGTTCATGATTACATCTGCTGCTGCTACCACTTGCCATAAGGACCAATTAGTGCCATTGGCTGGAGATAGATAGAGAGTGGTTTCACTAACTTATTTCCCCCAAACTGTCTGACAGACACTAGACACAAATTATTTTCCTTTAAAGACCCAAATTTACATTCCCTTAAAAAAAAAAGGAAAATATTTGGAGAAGAAACAAGTGTGTGTGTGTGTGTGTGTGTGTGTGTGTGTGTGTGTATGTGTGTGTATCAGGGGAGGGTGGAAGAGCAAACCAACCAATTGTCCAATTGCCTAAGTCATTTACATTCGACTCAGTCCTTTCTTTCATTAGCTCACTTCCACAGTGCAAAGGTCCATGACAGATGTGCTTCAGACAATCCCAATTCATGAGCCTTGAAAAATCAGATGACTTCCCCTTGTGTCTCGCCTAGAAAGCAGTGTTCCAACAGCTTCTTGGGCTCACTTAGCCCAATAGCCCTGTTACTGAAAACACAAGGGCCACTCCAGTTTACTTTCACCATCTGGCCCAGATTCTCTCCTCCCCCTCCCCCAAGGTTGTAAAACACTGTCCCTGTATTCCTGGGCTTACTATATTCTCCACAAGTTATGAAGATGGCAAGGAAAGTCAGCTAGGCTTCCAACACTAATTTAGAATGGTCAGCTTCTTCTGGGAAACAGGGGTGGGGGACACAGCACATAAGATCAGGAGACAGGGATTGAATCCATCTACAACACTTAATAATAGTTCACAAGTTCACCCCCTCTGAGCTTCAGTTTTATCTCCTGTAAAATGGGGATATTCACATTGACCTGTCTTGAAGGATTGTTAGAAGAAGAGTGCTTTGTAAATCTTAAGGCATTAATGAAATGAAAGCTGTTAACTATTTACAAAGTGCTGTCAAGGTATTCTGGAGAGCATTAATCTACTTCGAGATTTGGATTTTTCCATTCCATACCTATTTTTGACTCCACCAAATCTGGAATTGTTAGATCTTTGAATCAGAAGGAATCAGGTTCCTATGCTCTCTGACCTGACAGGTATGACCAAGAGATCAGGAGGGGGTACCAAAGATGAAGCTTAATAACCTGGCACACAAGATAGTTTGAGAAAGACAGCACAGAGGTGCAAAGAGAAAAGCAACCTGGAACAGGAGACACATTCAAAAAAGCAATACTCTGTCATGAAGAGATCTCACCTGACTTTCTCTTTCTCTGCTTTAGGAACAGCCAGCTCTGCAGGCAATAGCAAAGTGGGCCAACCTCTGACATCAACCCAGAGGGTCTGGCTCTTTTTGCTTTTATCTGCTGCCTTCAGAAGGTTCAGAGGGAGGGAGAAGCTGGTGCAGTCCTCAGGACTATAGCCTACAGCTGCGGCCTTATGGCCATGTGCAGAGTTCACTCAGGTGCCTTGACTTGGCTTTCTTACAGTGGTAACATGAGAGGCCTTAAAAGTCTTCTAGATCCACAAAACAGAACATCTCCAAATAAGAAAATCCCCAAGGGAAAAAAAAAACCAACAGCTTAGTATACTAGATAGGAAACTGGAAGTGGAGTCTAGAAAACCTAAGTTGGAATCCCACCTTACCCTCTGTGTTTACTTTTCTTTAAAATGAAGATAATAACAACACCTACCTCACAGGGTCATTTATAAAGATCAAATGAAATAAAATGGTGTAAAGTACTTTGCTAAATGTAAAACACAATACATATATATATATGTGTGTGTGTGTGTGCATATATATGTATGTGTGTGTGCCATATAAAGTATATATGTATATATATGCTTTGTAATTGTATACATTATGTGTATATATGTTAACTATAAGGTACTATACTTATATATTTTTTTAAATTGGATATAAGATTATTTTAATAAAATATTTTTAAATTTTAGTTATTCTTTAATTACAAAAGATTAAATGGTCTACATATATTTTACAAAAATACAATCTACTTAAAAAAAATTCTACCTGTATTTCCAATTATTTTTCAAATAAAAAAGATCTCACTTCAAAATTATGAAAATTTAGCATTCTTCTAATAAAACAAAAAGTAGTTGTAGTTTTTACTAATTAAATGTAAATGTTGAATTATGAGGATTGTGATTTGCAAGTTTGCATTTTGTGCACATTCAACTACAGTATGAATTATAATAATGTGATATTTATGATTTTGATTTTTTCAATTAATTCTTTAAAATAAATTTTAACCTTGATGCTTAAACCTGCCCTAAAATTTCTGGCATACCCTGTATAAATGTTAGCTATTATTACTATTGTTTTTTTAAATGTGGTTTGAAAAAAGCAGTAACATTCAATGTACACAACAGCAATGCTTCTGAAAAGCAGTCTATGAAGCTAAAATTCCAACCTGCACTCCTTTATTTTTCCTGCTGAAACAAATTCACTAGATGTTTATTAAATAGATACAATATAGTTTTATTGAGAGGCAGCTAGAAAATGGTGTAATATGGAGATTCATGGTTTCATGCTTTTTTATTATCTGCTGTGTGTGTGGAAATGCCCTTTTCCAGTGTTTAAGTTCAAGATTAACACATTAAATTAGAGAGACAGACAGAGAGACAGAG